TTTTCTTCCATTGACTGTTAGGGAGAGTGGAAAGGAGGAGGAGAGACAGAAACATCGATGTGAGAGAGACACATCCATTGGTTGCCTCCCACATGTGCCGCATCTGAGGCTAGGGATTGAGCCTGCAACCTACGTATGTGCCCTTGACCAGAATTGAACCTGTGACCCTTCAGTCTGAGGGCCAATGCTGTAACCACTGAGAAAAATTGGCTAGGGCTCAAGGGTTCTTATTTATGTCAACTCTGGCATCATTCAGATGTTCCTGTTTTTCCTATGTCAGAGGAAGAGGTGGAGGTAGTATGTCTGTGAACAGTTCTCGGCCAGCTACGTATTCGGAATCAACAGGCAACTTCCATCTACAGCTTGTTGTGATGTGGGGGAGGAGGCTGGCGCTAGGAGAGGATTATGGAATGGGGAAAAGGTTGTTTGTTTTGGATCTCATGGACCACCAGTGGTCCGCAGATCCCCGGTTGGCGACCACTGGTCTAGGCCACAGGTTCCATAGTTTCTATGGCGTCAGACAGCGGGCACCTGTGATACCATTGAAATACCAACTGGTTAGTCTCATGTCAGTTTTGCTAGAATGTCCTTTTTTGTGTTACATTGGAAATGTCCGTCACCCTGGACCCAAGACGTCTGATAAGCTCTCTATAGTGAATGAACACAGACCAGTCTTCCACTTCTGGTAAGTCACCCAGGACCTCAGGGATCCAAATGGGAGAGCAGGCAGGCACATGAGTACCAGCTGTGCAAAGCTCAGAATTGTACCCCAGGAGGGATGTCCCTGGAATTCTGTTCTTCACCAAGCCCTCGAGTTTCTGCCCCTCACTTCATGTCTCAAATGCATTCTTGGCCAGTGATTCCTGATCTTTCTGGATGTCATGACTTTTTGAGAAAATGTTTGAATTGACTTTGGGGGCTGACAATGGAATTGCCAACATTTTGCTTTCTAATATCAATGAACATCTACCATTATAAAAATTATTTGAACACCAAAAATGTAGGAAAGACGTCACTTGAGAAAGGAAAGCTTTTCCCAAGAAAGCACACCCTCGCACCGTGTGCTAATCATTCTGCCAGGGGCAATTTTTGTTCATTTGGTGGTGGATCAATAGTGACCCTGCCCTGGCAATGGTATAGGCCAGCGGTCGCCAATCTTTTGGACCTCATGGACTACCAGTGGTCCGCAGATCACCGGTTGGCAACCGCTGGTCTAGGCCACAGTTTCCATAGTTTCTATGGCGTCAGACAGCGGGTACCTGTGATACCATTGAAATACCAACTGGTTAGCTGGCCACTGACAAGAGGCCATTTGTCTTACCCTAGGGGGAGTAAACTAAAATTGGGGATGTTCTTGAGACAGGGGCAAGGAATGACAAAGTTCTACCCGCTGACTACATTAAAAAGGAAGTGCATTTTCCATTAACTTCAGACAACTAAGCTCCATGTCTAGACATTTCCCAACCTTATGAGACCAGAGCAAGGGCAGTGATGACACCAGGCATGGGTGGGAGCCAGGCTACTGGTGATGAGAACCATGTCTGGTAGGGCTGAAATATGAAATATACTTTTTAACCCAATAGTTTCATGTTAAAATGTTTAGGTAATACCTTTAAAGAAAGTAGACTACAATACAACAGAGAAACAGGAGTGATTTCTTCTTTAGCAAAATGTAAATCAATAAATCGTTTTTATCAATGAAGCTAAGAAACGTCCATCCATGGAGCAGAAAGAAGCTATATGAGAGAGGGGCATCAGAAAAGGAACGGATTTAGAATTGGGCAATTGGGGATTGAAAGGCAGGACTTCTGGATGGTGGGACAGTCATTTAGACGGTGGGACAGTCATTTAGAGAGGCATGTTGTTTAGTGTCCAAAGCATGGGATTCTGAAGGTGCATCAACCTAGGTTCCTATACTGGCTGTCACCAACACCACTTAACCTTTTGGAGTCT